ATAAAAGGAATGATTCTCATGAAAAAATTTCACCAAATGGCGCAGCATTTGATGTCTATAGATGATTGGCACCATATGCTATCAGTTGCGTGCATTCCTACTAGCGTATGGCCAATACGTCCTGCATTAGATGTTTGATGCTAGTCTGCAAGATGGTACTTGAGAACGTGTTCAAGGACTGATTCCTGCATGCTAGTTGTTAGAATGCATTATGTATACCTACTGGCATGTGGCCAATATGTCCTGTGTCAGATGCTTGGAGGCAGTCTACAGGGAAGTACTTGAGTGCAAGTGCTTAAGGCCTGATCTCTGTATGCTGTGTACCAGTATACTGCTGACTGTGTTTCCTGTTAGTTTTTCATATGTAGAGTTATTTACATGAATTAACAACTTATCATCTCTTCCTTTTTTCAAGATGTTTGAGTCTATTATTTTAGAATATCTTAATAATACAAAATACAGGCATTGGTCAATTATTTCTATTTTGGAGTATACAAAATCAAAATGTCAGTTATATGTAGATTCCATCAATGTTCTTAGGGATAATATATATGTGTCACTACAGAGATACAAAGAAAGTCGTGACAATCATATAAACGTAACCAACAAATTGAGCAAGATTCTATCTGATTTCGAGAAATCATTCTCTACAGCTGAAGTAAAAGAATTTATTGTTAAACTGCAAAAGGAACAAGGAGAACATGACTTTGATATGGCCTTACAGTTTAATGTAACATCTGCCTCCACAGTTAAAGCTTTGAAGGTAGGCTTTGAAATAGTCTTGGGAAAAATTCCACAATGGTCTAACTAATATTTCTATTAGGGATACCGTACAAATCAAATGCTTATCAATGAATTAAAAGATGATGAATACGAGGTTGCTAAATTTGCAATTATGAACATAATTTGTTTACAGCTATTCTATGGAAAGGATTTATTACTAAAAAATGTTATTTTTTATGCCATCCATCAGGAGGAAGGAGGACCATCTTATTCTAAAGTGGAATCAAGGAAATGGAAAAACAAAGTAGATACTAAAAGCTCATCAGAAGAGGAAACGGATTTTGATTACGTAGAAAAACCAAACAAAGTATGTGATAAAAATATATTTTAATTACTTTAAAAAGTTAATGATTATCATTTCTTTTTTTTACAATATTTAATTCAGGTAAAAAAGGATCTACAAATGATGATAGTGTAAGTTGATGTCAGATTAATTTTCATGTAACTTAATTTTTTCTAAGAATTATACCTGAGTAATATTGTTTCCATCAGTTTGAAACACCTCCTCCCAGATCGCAAAGCAAAACTGTGATGACCACTCCTCAAAAACCTACCCTTTTCGCAGATTCTGTAAAATATCTGGATAACCATTTTTCAGTAGTCATTAATCAGCAGTGTGTTATAATGAAAGAAATTAAAGTTGATATAATTCCAGGATCTGTTCATGATTGGCTTCTTAATGTATTATCAGTAAGTTAACATGAAGTTTTTACACATTATATCTGAATATACATTAAAAAAATTCTCCCACTTAGTCCGGAAAGGATGTATTCAAAAATACTGTCATGACTCCACTGACCCCTGACCATCAATTTCAGAAGATCTGTGAGATCATTCTTTATGACTTGTGGGTGGATTTTTACATGTCTACTTTCTCGGCAAGATATATTAACTTACATTGTTTAATTCAGTTTTTCAATGACCAGCGATGGTCCGTTAAACCGTTATATTGGGGAATGAAAGTACACAGTGGAAAGAATCGTGCCTTTATTCAAGGTGATACAGTCTGTTTATAAAGAATATATATTCAACTGGATTGAGGTACAACTTGACTGTATCAAAGAAATGAAGGTGTTATTCCCGGGATTCAATTTAACACTCAATAAAGCAGATAGTGTTGGTATGAAAGTTTCTAATAACAAGGAGATCATATTCATTGAAGTATCAGGAGGTCCTGAGAACACTGTGCCAAAACATGTAAAAGAAGATTCTGAGAAACTTATTAAGGAGGCAATGTTTGGACTGGTATCCCTTCTGAGAGACTATTTAGATAAGAACGCAGAGAATGTGGAGAACATATGCACATACATGGTACAAGTTATTGGTAATGTATTCACTGCTGTATTAGTTCATTTGAACAACACGAATCTTACAGTGGTAATTTATATTAGGTGATAGAATGACGCTAAGTGAGATTCGTCTTGTTAAAAAGCACTTCTATACAATTTCGCAGATTAAATCAGCGGTACTACCATTTTCATTCAACGAAATTGAAAAATTCTTTGAAATATTCAAATTACTTTATGCTTTGATTGTAAGTATAACATTACATATATCATTAAATTTAATGAAAGCTTTAATATAACACTTATATTTGATTCTTAGAGTGGGTTCGAAGGCCAAATAAATGAGTTAAAGAAGCTTGCGTTCACCAATTCCACTGATGGTGTACCAACAGTTCAAGACTGGATCTGGGTCCCAAAATCGATTGCGGAATGGGAATCAATAGAAATACGTGAAAATGAGTCTGACTTGTGAAATTATGGGGCTTCAAAAGTAATAATTAAATGATTATCTAATAATAATAGGGTTCAATATAATTTTTTTTCCTCAATGAAGAGTAAAATATATGTTAAAAAAATCTATTACAACAAAAATTGCTTAATTAAATGATCTTCATATTAACATATATTTGAAAAGTTAGAAAACTTCGAATTATAGGTTATTTTTTGCCATATTAGTATCAATAAACTGACCTGGATTGCCTTTTTTATCAAATATGTTGGCATCACTTATTAAACTTAATTGCATTACCACCATGCAATTCACGATAAATCTAATTGTCCTGATTCATTTCTTCTTATCTAATTTATAACAATAATATGGTTTATTTAATGCGTTGAATCTGTCAATGCTAAATATCAGCAAGCATTGACCAAATAGAATTACACAGTGAGTCTCGATTTAACGAATATTTTTTTCCAGAAAATTTATCCATTAAATTGAGAGATCTGCTAAATCGAAACTTATGATCAAATCATGTGATACAAATTAAATGTGTATATACAAAAAAATTTTTTTTATTTTGTACATAAAAAACAGAATATAACATAATAATAATAATAATATCATTGTCAACTCATAAATTCATTTAATGCAACATTGTTTTGCTTCTTGGGTGCTTCTATAAGAAATTTTCTCTTTTTAACTTCAATATATTTATATATTTTTAATTATTTGAGGATCAACTTCTAAATATTTTTGTTGTATATATTTAAGCGCATTTTCAACCATTTATAGCTTCTGTA